CAATTTTCACCTTCACAAATGCATTATTTTCACTGTTCAACAATATATTAGCCTTGAATGTTCGAATTCTATAAATTTTTAAAGAATGTTGTATTTATGTTATTTTATCCCAACAAAATTTGCTAGAGTATATTGATCATCGCCAAACATTTTAATTATTTAAAAAATCCCAAAGTGTATAGTACTAAGATTTGTTTTTTATATAAATTTTAAAAATCGCCAAGACCTTTTCTTCATGTGCTTTGTGATTCTTCCTTTTGCACATGGAGGCAGGTATTAGCTCACTATATATTATTTAACCCCAACAAAAACAATACATATCGTATCATATGTAAAAGCATGCAAGAAATTCAGGTTTCATATAAATTAAAAAGACAAATCGTATTTAACTTTATTAATGATCTAAAATAATATTATTTAATCGACCAACTTACAAATGACATATCATAAACTACATACACTACATCAAAACTACACTTACACAATAATTTAAATACATATTAAAAATTTAGTAAAAGCAACGAAGAAATACCGCTAAACATTATTAAAACCTTTTCTAAGCGTTATTAGGCTCGTTGTTTTTGACACCATGTCCAACCCCGGGACTATGACCTGGTGTCGTAGGCTTGAACTCATCTTTAAACCCTTCAACACTTTCATTATTCTCCTTCATCTTATGACCAATGCCCGGGCTATTACCCGGAGAAGTAGGCCCGAAATCATCAGTGTTACCGGCCGTGAAATGATGACCATCGTCGGTTTTCCTCAACTGCCTTGCCTCAGTGAATTGTATTTTATAAAATACCATCGAAATGATTAAGAGGATGATAAGAATGATATTAGTCGAGAGTTTCATGTTAAAAAAAAATCTGTGTGCGGGATTAGTAGTTTCTAGGGTGACGAGAGAAGAAGGATTGAGATCACACAACGTTGGCTTATGTTTTTAAGTTACTTCGAAAGACAGATCGTTTTTATAAGTGTAATGTGAGTGGAACAATGAGCACAGTGATTTAATTTGGACCGTTCGTGTAATAACTTTCAAAACTATAGAAATTCTTAATGTAAATTAAAAAAATCGGTGATATTTATTAAACATATATGCTACTAATAAGACAATCGATGGACGGCATATAGCCAAGCTGAAAAAAGGAGATTTCAAATGGTTAATTGGTGTCCTTTAAGGTGAATATATATATTATCAGAAACGTCGGTTTCAATCACCATAAAATATAACTTTAAATTTATAAGTTTTATTTTTGGCGACAGTTTATAGTAAACAAATCAAAGATATATTTATACGACAAAATCTAAGCGTGGGATTTTCGGTAGACGTCCTGAATCTCCCATAGTGCTCCATGTTGAATATACCAACTCATACTTGAATAGTTGTATTGTACTTTTTTTGTTAAACACGGTACTTAGTGAAGAACATATATGGTTTAGTGGCGCCAATTAAGTTTTAATCATGGGTCTACATCCTAAAAACACTTTATATTTCAGAAAAGTTATTAAATGAAAAAAAAATGTGTGAGCATGAACGGGAAAACATTTTCTCTGGTCCAGTCAGGACTTAACAATTTTCATATCATTGTTTTGTGATTATACATTAGTGAAATCGTTTTTAGATATTAAAAATGGCTATATATTAGCATTGAAATTAATTTACAAAAATACTATAAATTTCCAAAGGCTAATTAAGTTCCACAAAAGCCGCCTTTCCCTAACCACAGAAAGACACTAATGTTAGAAGGACCCTCTCCCATCTGGCCATCTCCATAGATAATATATACAAAAGGTTTATATACTTTTGATATTTAAAAAAAAAAAAATAGTACAAATCTTGAAAGAAATCCCGTTTTTAATTATAATGAACAAAAAGTATATATGTGTGCATGGTTGTTGGAAATTGAAATGTGTCTCTTTCTTAAATCTTTTGTTATGTTCATGATTTTTTTTTTAATGAGACTTCACTATTTTTATCTTTATTTCTTTTAGTCAAAAACTTGGTGTTAAAAAAATCAATTTTAATTATATATATGTTCAATAGTGTTTCGCTATATACTGCAAAATTGTAATTCTTGAGATTCCCTAGTTATATATGATCATGATCTTGACTCCTAAAGTATATAATAAAAATAGAACTCCCCACTCACAAATATAAGATCTTCTCCACTACCAAAAAGGTTCGTTACCATCAGATTTATAAAAATATTCTTTTTTTTTTTTGAAACTTTTATAAAAATATTCTTCGTACGAAAAATAATTGTAATCATCATAAATACCTATATGTTTTAGTTTTTTTTTTAATTTGGCTTCTAGAACGGCAAAAAACACTCGCGAATATTTGAATAAATACAACGCACATTTGCTATTTTTCTCTATATTAGTATCTGACTGATTTGTAGTATACATAAGTGTTTATTTTCATGGTGTTTGTGACGTTTTGAAAATCATATCTTGTTGTTGTATAATGTAATCTTTAAAAAATGTTTTCTCACCCAACTATCAAATTCCACTAATGGAATTTTTTTCTATCAATTTCTCATTAATTAATTTACATTCAATATATGTTTTCTGAATTGTAAGATCTTGTCTAACGATTGTAAAATTCTTGTCTTTGTTATTTTGAAATATAATGTACCAAAATTTTCTTTCGAATAGAGGAAACAGAAAAAAAAAATACTAGAATTAGTAAAATGAAAAACAAAATGCAAAAAAACTCCCGATATAAAATTGAAAAGAGGACAATTTGTGGAGTTTCTTGAAAATCATTCTCTTCTAATCATAAATTTTAAATTTGTGTTCAGTGTATAATTCTTGATATATATTAATTATCAACCGGTGATGTATATATATATTCTTTTTAAGGAAAACTATTCATACGTTCTTATGTTTTGTTTTTAACACTATCACATGTAAAATGTTTTTTTTTTTTGCTAAACATGTTAATATCATATATTGAAAGTTAGAGTTACAAGCAGTTGTAACCTATTACAATGTTTCTTTGGCAAAAATAAAAAACAAGGAGAACATATAATTAAGGAAGATTATCAAATTTAAAGTATGGGATCATCGGAACTAGAGCTTCATCAAGTTACTGAAGTGTCGTCGATGACATCTTGCATTGATGATGTTTCTGATTTCTCGATCGATACAAATAAAGGTAGTGGACGGAGGGATAGATTCAGAGTTATGAATGACGTTGTTCCTCTGTTTTCACATGTAAAATGTTTGAATCGAATGAAGCACCTAATCAATTTAAGCAGTATCACTATATTCATTTAAGAATATATGATTAGGTGATTAAACGTCGGCATATGAAATTTGAATATGGACGACACTTGTTTTCCTTGGTTCTGTCCATCCATTTTTAAACTGTTAATTAAACTTTGAATGTGTCCGACAACGCCGCCATGCTTGTAATAATATACTATTAAAAATAATTAAAGCGCATTTCTAACAATAATTAACTAAAAACGAGTGAGAGGAAGAGTTAGTTGGTCAACGAATAAAGTCAAAGGCACCATCGCCATCAACTTAACCACTAACTCTTCCCTACCACTTACTCTTTCTTTGTCGTTTGTC